AATAGGTGTGTTCCCCGGTGATATAATATCTTGTATTCTTGTAATCTTACGATGTATGACTGTGACATCGACTGAAATATGATAATATGATGGAATCAGTTCTTGGTTTTATCATATTAAAATTCATTCTGTGGATTTTCCCTTCAAGGAAAATTGAGGATGTTTCAGTTTCCATAAAATGCCTGTAACGTAAATGCACATCATAGATATATATATTCAGTGCTTATTCAAAATAAGGGTTATGCACCGGGGCTTGCCTTGGGCAGGCGCGGTGTCAGCTCAGTTAGTCAGTGGCGGCTTCAGGACCTCCTCCTGCATGAGGATCTCTTCCTCGTACTCTTCAATCACCTCCTCGTACTCCTGCTCGCCCTCAGTCACGAACTCCACCAACTCGTTCTCTACATGCATGCAATGACGATGCAACACTCAATATTAAAGCATCAGTAGTTCTTAAAATAAGAATACATCTACTAAGCCACTAAGCTAGCTCTAATGACTAAGATACCGAGCTAATCATCATTTCCATCAAACCAGCAGGGTTTGGCCTACAAGTGCTACTTAGCAACCAAAATATATTCTCACTCTTATTAGCGATTTCCTATATACTACCACAAGGAGTACTTAGCTACCATATTTCTCAATATATTCTAAGGCTACAAAAATTACAATGAGTTCATAATAAAACAATGAATCTACTATAAAAATTTCACGGTCAAAGCTATTACCAATTTGCCACAAAAATTCCTACAAATACTAATCTAAATAATACTAAACACTTACAATTAATTTAATAGCCGCGGGTATCAACAATTATATATATAAACTAAATACACTAACAGATAGAGCACAATTTTAGCAATCTAACAAAAATGGTTTCACAATTTTTGGATACCTACATGATTTTATATGATCTATCAAAGTTCAGCTCAGAATTACAAATGAAAAGCTATTTCTATTTTCCACGAAAAATCTAAACTGATTTCGGACCAAGCGGCGCAATGCGCGCGCACGCGAGCGCACGGTGGCCCACAGGCAAGGCGCGGCCCACACGCGGAGGCGGCCCACGGCGAGGAGTCCTGCGCGCCGGCACATATGCAAAAGCGCCCCTGGACTATGAGCAAAACAACCCGTAGTCCATGTTACTATTCCTAGAGACAGCACTTATGCAAAAGAACCCTCGGACCTTTCTCCCCTTTGCAACGGTGAGACCCTCGGCCATCCCAGCGCGCTCCGGCGCGGCGAGCAGTGGCACAGGCGCCTACGACGACCACACGGGACCCTAGCTGACCTAGCTACGAGGCCGACGCTCACCTAGGGTTCGACACGAGACGATGGGTGGCAGTTGCGCAAACCGGGACACCATAGAAAGACCTCTCCACGACGGTGGACAACTACACGTGCGGCGCAGGGCACGGCCAGCAGCGGCTTGGCACGTTGTGCCATGCGCAGGAGCTCCGCATCACCACGACATGGCATGGTCGACCGCTAGCGGGGACAGGCGTGCGTGCGAAAGGCAGCGGCCTTGATCCCGTACCGACACAGCGCCACCTGAGCAGAGGGAGTGGGCAGGCACCGGTCGTGGCAACCATGTGCGTGGCGGTGCGTGTAGCGGCGCGAGCAGCGACAGCGGCTGGCGGAGCAGGGCAGAGTAGCGATGGTGTGACTGCGCATGGCTGGGAGATAGCGGCGGGGTAGTAGCGCGGCAGTGAGGTGGGGCAGCTGCGCGCCAGCGCTGTCGGCCACAGCGGCCAGCCGAGCGCGGCCAGGCGTGCGTGGGCGGCCGGCACGTCAACGTCGTGGCTTAGGGGTGCAGTGACCGTGCCTACGTGAGGGAACCGACCGAGGACGTGCCATGCATGTTTTTTAAAGCGTCCAAAACAACTAATCGGTTAGCCAAACACCCAAACCATCTTCACCATACTTTAGATGGTACATTAGGCTACTAAAACTGGCCATGACACTACTCTACTTCTTAACTAAATTTTTCTACAAAAATTGATGAACAAAGCAATGTCTACCCTTTCCAAAGTTTAAGAAATTTTCTAAGTTTTGAATGACTTTCTATTCCTAGTTGCCTTTCCAAACCCTTAGAGATATAAGCTAGCAACATTATTTATCAACACCAAGTATTTCATTGTCATCTACAAAGTTTGTACTTTCAATTTTATTTAAGTGTTGCATATATGTTCTATATTATTTTTGTTCAATAAAAATTAGTTTACAACCCTACTTGATAATTACGCGAATCATGAAATAACTTTTTGATTAAAATTCTATTGATCCTTCTATGTTACGACACTTCACCTACTCATTTCACCACATACATTAACACACAAACATGATGCTCATGACAAATTTTAGTAAATGATTTACGGTGTAACACTGAGGGTGTTACAAGAGAGCCCCTGAGGGGGAATTATGGGAAAGGATCCCAAACGAATATACTCTGGTTGGCCAAGTGCAAAAGTGTAATAAGTGAATATGGTGTATAATGGCCTATAAAAACGGAACTCAACCCCAAGGGAAAGAGGAGGGTTTTTGGCTCGAAACCCTAGAAACACTGTTTGCCTCGGTTATTGTGCAAATTCATTAACATGGCCTTCGAGCATCGCCGAAGGCTCCTCTACCTGGTCGGGATCCCATAACCCAACATTCAGAGTTCATTATACTTGTAAATCAGAAAAACATAAAGCACCGAAAAGGACAGCATGATCTAGGGTATTTGCTAAGGGAGATTCAAAGAGCATATTGACTGTTCATTCATTCAATTTCAACACATATGGATGCAGATGAAAATGTGCTACCAATATTTCTCACAGATACTGCAGGGTGCGCAGCAGAACACAAAAAAGTAACTTCATTATACAAATAGTATAGTACATAAAGCCAGCAAGAACCTCCCCCAAGTCTCACTTCTCTAATGTGAAGTATGATCTTGTACCCAAAAAATAGTCCAGAATATATCATTAATATCACAGTTAGACACAAACAATCAGGTAAGGTTAAACTGGTAGTTTTAAAATAGTTATTTTTTAGAACGAAAATACGTTATTTCCAGGAGACACTATCATAAAAGTGGCAAACAATAGTTTTACAACATGCCATTTTCTCCACACAGTTGGATAGGTTCGGTGTTTCCCTGCCTTGTATTTAGTTTGAGTCTCTCTACCTTCTACTCGAGTATTGTAGGTACTCGTGACACCCTAGCGTCACATGCCAATAAAACACTCGAAACTGACCGGTTGATAGAATCGAATCGAGTATTTTAAGGCCATGAAAGACTTGAAGTTTATAACCATATGATTTAGATCTAATGATCAGAATTAATTCAATCAGATAGAACATATAAAATAAAAAATTACCCAGATTATTTCTATAAAAGCCAAATTAGAAGATTTCAAAGGAAAACCAAATAAAACAAAAAGATTAGCCAGATTATTTCTATGAAAGCCAAAATGAAATATTTCAAAGAAAAACCAAATAAAACATACAGAAAAAGCCAAAAAACAGTCAGATAAATATTCAAGTAATTCTGATCATTCTCATTTACGAATAATCAATTTACACCAGTTGAATATAGAACTTACACCTAAACTGGAGATGTAAAATATGGTTTAATGAAATGTAATCTCCTCTTATATATTCATATATGAGTAGGGGCTAGGTGATTTGACACCACCAGCCAGCTACTGGAGTCTCTGCACCTACCCTGCACAAAATCAGCATGCACTGGCGCAAAAGCAGCATGCATGCATGGGCCAGCTAGGTGTCCGTCTCTCCGTGTCAAAGGGGAGGACGGTGTGGTGTGTGGGCGCTGTGACAACCGCTTGCGCGCTCACGTCTCATCGCCTCCATCGCAGCGCATCATCTAACGGCCCAAAAATCGAGTGAGCAAAGGAAGAAAAACACTCGAGTAAAGGATAGATTTACCGTTTATTTTAGGTGTGGGCGTGGGTGTGTGAGTAGGAGTGTGTCGGAGGTGTTTCGGGGAGTGTGTCTCATGCCTCTCCTTTACCTTTTGTTTTCTCCTATCTTAATTAAATGACACGAACGCGTCGTTCGAGAAAAAAAAAACTAGACAAAATGGACATCTAAATGCACCTTTACATTTTCTAAGCCTCAACTCTATCATCTGAACATTAGTAACATATATGTGACAGCACTCTCGAAATGGTAGAGGATGTACATCCAAGGGTATCATTTGAAATTTATTATCCAGTTGTCTTTCACTCTTTCCTTAAAGATTGTATGAATGAGTGAACTCAGTGCAGCACACAAACAGAATTTAGGAACGGTAGTCTACCTTTACTTTTATAGCTGTTTGGATGAGGGTCATTTGTTCAGGAAGTTTTAGGATTTTGTTCAAATTTAAATGAAGCCCTAGGATTTGAATCCAAATGCCCTCCTATTCCATCAGGCCCTAACCCTAAGCATGTTCAGTATTTTTAAAAACCTGAAAAAGAATATAGGCGGCATTAATAAAATACTGGGAAACTGCTAAATTCAACACTAACAGAAATGGTTGGTATTGTCAGAGAAGGAAGTGGTTGGAAGATTTGGTGGGTCAAACTGCAAAACAGACATGGGATTGGAATGTATTAAACATATTACAATTACAAACTTATTAGCACAGGAGTGATCTTCATGTAAGACTACCATAGCAGAAAATAGGCAGCAGATTTCTCAAGTAACTAGCATTTCGAGGTGCAAGGAAATGCAGCCACAGGAGTGTTTACGGTAATTAGTTCTATGAATTTTAGGTTATCCCACAAATTAACATGCAAGCAATTTCATGTATGCAAATGAACCTTCCATGATTATAAGGAAAGACAGAGTACAGAATTGATTAAGATAAAACTGAATAAGTACATGTTTGACAGAGTTTCAGAAGATTTCGTCTCTACCACAATATAACAATATAGAGTTCATATGTACTTGATATCTGACATGCTTTACAGTGACAGATGCCAACCATCATTTCTTTACTTCGCCAACCCAACTCATCCCTGTGTTCTTGTACATATTTTCTTTTGATAACTCATCCCTAACCTCCTCAGCATCCCACCACATCTCTTGTGAGGCATACAAGTTTGAGAGCATAACCCTGGGTAAGCAGCTTTCTCTGAATTGAGTTCAAAGAGCTTTTCAGCAACAATCCTGCCGAGGCTGGAATCACGATGGACACAACAACCCCAAAGCAATGCACCCCACACACCACAATCTGGTTGTATTTGCATTGTCTGTATAAGATCGTATGCCTCCTTCAGCTGGCCAAATGTTGCAAGAAGCCTCACCATGTACACATAGTGCTCCATTTCAACAACTATCTTGAATTCATCCCTCATTCTCCTGAACAACTTCCATCCCTCCTCCAAGTGTCCCACATGACAACAAGCAGCAAGTAAAGCGGAGAAGGTAGCACTATCAGGCATTAGCTTATCATTAACCATCTCATCTAGGACATCAATAGCCTTAGTTGCAAACCCGTGAGATCCAAGGTTTGATATGACCGTGTTGTACATGACTGAGTTCTTATTAGGTAATTGGCGGAACACCCAGTATCCAAGCTCAGTGAAACCACATTTTGCATAAGCATCCATTAGTGAAGAAGAGACTCTTATATCCATATCTGCTCCAAGCCTGACTGCATAACAATGGACCTCCTGGTACAACTAACAGCAGCTGTAGAAGCACATACCGAGAGAACACTAGCAATCAATATGCCGTCGGGCCTCCTACCAGTAAAACACATTTTCGGAACAAATCAAATGACTCCTCGTACTTGCCAGTTTGCATTAGCCCAGTAATCAGTGACGACCAGGTAATCAAATCCGCATCGGGCAAGCTACCAAACAATCTCTGTCCAGATTCCATACACCCACACCTAATGTACATCGACACAAGTGTGCTTCTCACATGGTGTCCGGAGTCATAACCCCCCTTGACACACATTCCATGAACTGCTTGACCGAATGCAAGTATTTCCGGATTCCAGAAGCATGAGATTAAGCCAACCATTGAATACCCATCCGGCTGCTCCCCAGCTCTCCGCATTGAGGAAAACATCTGGAGACCATCATACCACATTCCTTGGTACCCGTATGCAGACAACATGGAGTTCCAAAGGACCAAGTCCGGCTCGCACAATCCATCGAACACGCTGCGAGCATTGTCCACGAGGCCAACCTTTGCGTACCCACTGACAAGCGCGCTCAGGACAATCGGACGGGAGCACATACCGCATGATGTGGCGATACCGTGGACGACCTTGACGGCGTCCGGGCGTGAGGATTCGGCGCAGGCACGGAGGACGCAGGCGAAGGTGTGCGCGTCGGGCGGAGTGGCGGAGCGGCGCATGCGGGCGAAGAGCGCGAACGCGGCGGAGAGGTCGAGGCGGCGGGCGTGGGCGCGGATTAGGGCGTTGTAGAGGAGCGGCGAGGCCGGACGGGGAGCCTCGTCCAGCAAGCGGCGGGCGGAGGAGAAGTCTCCGCGGGCGGCATAGGAGCGGAGCACTAGGTGGCGGAGGTCGGCAGGGCCAGAAGCGGAGGAGGGGGAGGCGACCATGAGGCGCGCGTGGAGCTGCTTCGTGTGCGAGAGGGACAGAGGGAGGGCAGCGCCATTGCTGGACCCAGCGGCGGCCGCCGCGGCGAGGAACGGGAGGTTCCCGCGCATACCATGGACGCGAGGCTCACTGGCTCAAAGCACTTGTCTTTTTTGACTTGAATCATCCTGGGCGTGTGAACTTTTTTTTTTCAACAGGTCTTTTGAAAACAGCTTCACGGATGACTCCTTAAATCCTACTCTTATATACATGAAAATAGGGTGAGATGAATTTACCAGTCATATCATTTCAGCGAAATAATAGTATTTTTTTTTTCTAACAACAAATCAGCATCAGCATCATCCGTTTTTCTAGGCAGCCGAACAAGGCCTAAAAATCAGCATCAGCATCATCAGCTGCTCAGCATGGCACAGCATCGCCTCATCACGGCCTCGCCTCGCCACCGCACCGCCATCCTACCGCCACGAGCCCTTCGGTGAGCCACATCGTTCGCTGCTCACCGCGCTAGCCGTACTTGCCATGAAAGCCATCATGTTCCCGCACCTGGGGAACGCAGAGGCGGAGCATTCCCGCTCCTGGACACGCTGCACATGCACCGCACGCGCACAAGCCCAAGGCCTGGCCTCACCGACCCCTAGCAGCTCGGGAACACCGGCACGACCACTCCTAGCCTCTCAGACGCCATGAACGGACCACGTCGGAGCACGAGCTCTTGCTCCGGCTTAGCCAACCGGTAGCATAGAAGGACCACCACGACCCTCTTGTTGAGCCAAACGGAAACGCTGGGCAAAGGGAAGAAAGGGGCGACGCCGAGCCCTTCCTTCCGAGAACGCCAGCCGCCGAAGCGCCTGCTTATGCCATGCATACGCATCGCACGCACGCGCTCACCATGGCCAGAGCACAACCATGGTGAGACCACCGTGTCTTCTACGTTGCGGTAAAGGCGACGTTGACACCCTGACTGGCTCCGCCATGACAAGAGACACACCTTAGCCGAGGATGAAGCCCACCGGAGCCCTGCGTTGCCGCACCGCACCTCATCGGAGCTCCACCGCTCCGCTTTGCCCCCAACCACCGTGGTCGGGGCGTTGAGAGCTTCCGAGCCCCTTCGACCGCTGCCATGGTCGTAGAAGCATCGTGGAGCTCACACGCTCCTCCAATTGAGCTCTCGCTACCACTGTAGTCCTGTCCATGCACGCCGACGAACCCACACCGCCGTTCACCGCGGTGAGCCAACTGGAGCCGCCCGACCACCACGTTAACTTCACCGAGACACCCACTATGGCATGGCCAAGCTTTTGCCCACCTTAATTGCACACCACGCCATTGGAGGGGGGCTCACCGGTGAGCTCACCACCGGCGGGAGCACGACGGGAAGAAGATTGGGATTTTCCCTCGCCGGCCACACGTTCGTGCACTTGGTGCACGTGAAACGGAACACTGGGAAGGAGTAAGTGGACCAAGTCCTTCATAGACCGCTCTGCGGTCTATGGACCAATGCAGGCGGGTTCACCATGAACCGCGCCTCACCTATCAGTCACCGTTTAACCCTGGACCCACCAGCGGTGTGACCAACCGAGATGATGACGTCATCTTGACGTCGGCAGACCCACACGTCGGTAGTGGATTAGCTCAGATGGCGCCACGCTGATGTCATACCGATGATGAGACCACGCCAGCATCGACGACCACTCCGACCACCTCCGCGATCTCACCGACCACCTCCGCGATACCACTTCGGCAATCTCACCGACCACCTCCGCGATCTCACCGACCACCTCAGCAATCTCACCGACCACCTCGGCAAGCCCTCCGACCACGACAGTGATCTCTTCGACCACTTCAGCGATCTCTCCGACCACCGCTGCAACCTTTCCGACCACCTCTACAACCTCTCCAACCACCTCACCAGCTGTGTCCCTACATGCCACGTGAACCAGTCACGGTGTGACATGTGTTAGCCCTGAATTAATCAGCCTTATTTTAATCTTTGGAAATACATAACTAATTCATACGAACTCAGAAAAATACAAGATCAGGACCAAAATTCATCTAAAATCGAGCTCTATGCAATGAACCCATGTTTGAGTGCATTTGGCTCTTTTGAATTTTCATTGCTTCTTTGTGCTATTCTATAGACATCGCTAACGCGACTATAATGCGATCGTTTGCAGACTCGGAGGAGAACCAGACGGACAAGGACCGAGAGTACCGTGAGGAGTACGGAGACGACTGCACTGAAGGTGCCACATCCCACCCAACCTCGTAGCACCTATTACGCATGGCTAATATAGAACTGCTATTGCTTTACCTTATTGTTATATTCACACTATGATAGGACTTGCATGGTAGTATGCTTTCTTGATGGCCTTTACCTTGACGCAACCTTACCCCTGCTCACCCTGCTGTTAGGCTAAGTCACACGCTTGCTGCTATATTTCACTGCTTATTATTTCTACTACGCTTATATATACCATATTGATGCGTGGTGGAAACTGATGTTAACTGGACTATGGGGAGAGTGTTGCGTGTGTGACTTGGGTGCATGGAGGGTGAGGGTTGTGTCGACCAAGTTGGAGTATACGACGAGCCTGGGGCAAGTCTTCCCGCAGGGTGCTACTTGGGCACCCCTGGAAATGGATACCTGTGGTGGGTAAATGGTATATGAGGTGGCCCTGGGTGTGAATCTGTGATGGGAGGAGCCCGGGGTGGAGGTGCTGTGGTGGCACGATAAATGGAAACACTGATGAAGACATTCTGGCTTGGTCATCCCTAAGGACTTACTAGTACTCAGATTCACCGGGAAGCCTTACGTACCACTCGCCCTATATGGTGCGGGACGGCCGGACTACTTGGTAGGATATTACCACTACTGCTAGGTTGATAGTGGACAGTGTGAGGGAGGTACGGGGCACGGAGGATTCCCCCCACACCCTTCCGAGACTTCATGGAGACCTTGTGGACCCAGCTCATGACTCACAGTTTCAGCCACCCCAGACCAGACTTAGGGTGTACCAAGGCTGAATGGTAGAGTGGCATTATCCTAGGCTAGCAAGCGGCCGGAATCAGCCCAGTTGACGACGGTCAGCGAGGAAGGCGGATCTTATGGTTATGTAAAACCTCTGCAGAGTGTATGGTTGATCGATCGATACATATGCCGACTTGTCGGCTATGGACCTTTCCTGGGTTTCGTTTAAACTAGATAGTGAGATGAGTCCTTCTCTTCTCCCCCCTGGGAGTGAGTGTTCGGACGTAGCCAGGAGCTACGGGCCATGAGACAGTGCCGAGAGGGAGTTGGCCTGTCGACTGAGCGATGGTATGGTTATGATGTGGTGATGATGTGGAGATGGTGGTAAATCGATCTCAGGATCAAAACCTGGCTCTAGACGGGAATAGGGTGGAATGGGTGTGGGATTGGTGTTAAAACTTGACCAACTGTTATTATATACTTGATATGCTAATACATAGGAAACCCCAGCCTTATAGGTTTCTTTTGATTATATCCAACATGCATCCAATTTTCACAAAGCAATGCTCATAGGGTGGGAGTGGCCAGTACAAATCGTACTGATAAATTTTGGCACACAGGTTCTGCTGAGGAGTATAGCTCTGAGGAGTTTGACGGTTGAGGGGTTCGTTCCTACGCTCGAGTTTGGCGATCTTATCTTCGAGCTGTTCTGAATGAATGCTACTTTTGATTCCGCTAATGCGGCGATGTAATAATTTATGTAATTCCGCACTATTTGTACTCTGATATTATCGTTGTATGGATGTGGTATTCAACTGGAATTTAGGTAATATAATCTACAACGGTCATAATACACTTCGACTCTGTGGATTTCTCTTCGCGGAAATCAGGTCGCTTCACTCATCACCTTGCATGCTCAGAGAATAGAGCAAGAACGAGAAGTGAGGGGGGAGGGGTGATGGAAAATTTCATGTCATGCTGGCTGTTGACTCAACATGTCACATTAGATGTAAGGGCCAAACGAAGAGGTATGAACATGTAGTGAACCACTTAAAAAATTTATGGACCTAGAGGTTTAAACTAAGAGCCAAACAAAAAAGTATGGACCTCTCCATGAAGCACTTAAAAGTTTATGTAACCAGAAATCAAGTTTTATAGTTGACGGATTTATCCCGAACCCCGCATAAGCTAATGGACCTTTGGGGTATTTAAGCCGGCAGGTCCATTGGCCCACAAATATCGGCCTTAGGTTGGGCTGGACTTGCTATGAGCACATACTGGCCCGGACCTAGATACTATCTAGGCCAGGTTAAATTAAATTATACATAGCTGCTTTAAGATTCATACATAATACTCTGAGAGTACCACCGGAGCAAGTCTCGACATCAGCGATACATCTTAGAAATGTTATATTTAAAATTGCATAAAACAACTTAAGATGCAGTACACCAGTAAAGAACATAATTTAAAATTTGACAACACTGACTTGGATTCCAAAAAATGCTACTAGTTCTTACAAAAATTGTAGAATGCAAAACATTAACAGTATACCTGTTCTCATATTCTAAGACTTGAGTATCAGTCTTAACTTTTATTTATTAATTTACTAGATACTAGAAATATGAAAACACTTTTAGTTGGCCGGTAACCAGTGGCTCATCATTCACGAGGAATCATCAACTCCAATTGGGACAAACAGATCGACCCTGGTTTAACAAAGTCAGGATTCACCAAGCTCAGGTTCAAGTTTAAGATGTCTCGCGAAGTTGATCTGAACAGGCTTGCAATCTGAGGCAGGGTATCCTCCTCCTGCACTGCATAGGACACCACACCCTTGGATGCTGCGGAGGAACACCCACACGGCAGGTGAACCGTTATTGTGTTACCTGAAATCAGGGGGGTACTCATCGCCAAAGTTCATTGCGTGCCCACTGAAGATCCCGCGATTGACAGTATCAGCTGTATCTGCTGGCTTCACCACATATCGAGTGTCATGGAAGAGAGCACTCATGGTACGGTGGCGTTGTTGATCACCTCACACGCGCAGGGCACAGCCACCAGCACGTCCACCGCACCGCGGAGGGCCGCTTGATCGGCCGGAGGAGAGCCGTCGACGACGCGGTAGCGTTGAAGACGGCGGCT